TGTGTAGAAAGCCAACACAGACGATTTGAATTAATTACTTTTGTACAAATTATAAATAGCGTTATTTTTGCCAGTATCGTAATACGAGTATTAACGCTGACCTCAAAGTATAATAATATTTGGCAAACCCGTGATAAAGTAGTTAGTCTTTTAAGCAGGGAATCATTGTGTATGTATTGAGAGTAAAATATTGAATATTTATCGAATATTATCAACAATACTGAGGTAAATAATTGTTTTAACCAAAAATGAACTAAAACATTAGTTTATTTCTGTCTATAAGCCGAGCAACGGTGAGGAGTTCAATTCTGACGTGTACTGTGGCTTCGTGAAGGTAATTATACATGGTAATCACTTCCACGCTGGCGTATGAACCAGCTCAAAAAGCACTTTTCTGTGATACAGTATGTACTAGCAGTTCTGCACACTTAATCTTAGTGTCATGTTGACACCCGTAAGTACTAAACAGTTGTGTTAATTTTTTTTCTAGGCTCTTTGTAAAACAAACAAATGAATAAATAAATGAATAAAAAATAGCATGATAACAAAAGAAAATGAACAAATGGTAAACACCACAGCGTGCACTAGTGAGTTATTGATGCACGCAGGAGGTTGCTAAGCACGAAAGAAGCGTAAGATTCACGCGAGGCGATAGCCGAGAGCGACTCTAGCTTCTTGAGTCCTTAGCAAATCTCCCGAGTGCATCTACGACTCAATATATAGTGTATACTGTGGCATTTACCATTTGGTTTATAACATAACAGATACATTGTAGCAAATCTTACGTGATCAGAAAAGAAAAAAAAAAGCGTACGCGGAAAACTAGTCTTTGCATTTGCTTAAGTCAGCAGCATACACCTATGGGCAAATAGTGGACGCTGAACTGACCAATCAGAACGCGCGCTTTACTTTGGTTATGTAATAAAATTTGTTAAATTTCACTGCTCGTAACAAATACGTTCACGATGGGTGGCAGTATTAAAACATCTCTCGAACCAAGTTGTTAAAACTGCGCAACAAAATTTACGATGTACTTACATAAATGCTAGTTGATTGTGTTCTGAACATTTTGGTCGCAGAGACGCCGAGGCCTCCAGTAAAACACATCTATGATAGAAAATTTAGTTAAGAATAATCGTACTGGTGATAACGACAATAATAATTATAAACTTTAACGTTGAACTGAAAGGTTCCTTCAAACTTTCTAAGAATATCAGATGTTTTGTTTACTGAGGAATGTCAAGCAATTAAAAAAAATTACTACGGGTGACACTTTCTCCGAGCTTTTGCATCTTTTAATATTTCTTGGTCGTCAGCACTAAGAGATTCTGTGCTTCTGATTACACTGTTGGCACGATCTCAATGAACTAAATGCCCCGCAGTTGGTAATTAATATTCACCAAAGAATCATTGAAAAGTTTCGAAGCGCAATATTTATATGGTCCTTTTCAGGTTTTTTCTCCCATTATATTTCTGTAAGCCAGCAATAAAACTCCGACAGTAGCAGTACACCTATTACAACAATACCTTCAAAGGCCCTCTCACTCTTAAAATTCAGGATGAGATTAACTAAAATTTTAAGACATACTACGAACATACCTCAGACTGAGAGTCAGTTAAAAAAAGCACATAATTTTGTTTCGAAGTATTATAATAAACGTAAACGAGATATAAAACTGTGGTCTAGCAGGACAATTCATTCAAATGCTTGTTGGGGATTTTTTTTTTCTTAACATTTCCAACGTGGTTCTCGCACGATACATAAAAGAACAACTCAGGTCGTAATCGAACTTAGTCTGGTCACACGTCCGACCTGAGTAACTACCACACTACCTAAAATACATTTTAAGATTTTTTTTTTAGTCTCCACTGCGAAAAAAATAAAAGTTTATCCCTAGCCCCAAGACTAGACGAGTTTGATGTTTGTTCAGATATTGCAAGTGGTTTAAAACTATTTTTGGTTTTCACGAAAAAAAAAAAATAAGAAAGTCACTCAACTGAACTTCTGAGCAGGTTTATTTAAAGCTTTCTGTATTGTTTCCCCGTTAAATTGTATATGAAAAAGTTACCGGCGCCTGATTGGCCAAAAATGGGTGCAAATTATAAATATCGCGCGCGCGCTGTCATAATTTCGTCTGTCTGTGATGGTTTTGTCATGAAAAATATCATCAAATAACTTAATGATTTCTCTTGCAATTTGGCGTAAATAAGCATTAGTCAGTTTTCAGAGACTGAAATTGCACACGCCTTCGGGCTTGTGCAATTTTGTTGTAATTAAAAAATTTACTCGTGCTTAGTAACACCAAATTACACTGGAAATCATGTTATAACATATGCAAATTTACTGAACTTGAGGTTGTTCTGACGTAACTGATCCTTGCTGTCACGCCGCAGTGTCGCGAAGAAAACGGAAGTTTTATAATATGTTTATGTTTTGGTGTGGCAAGTGCAAGCTTGACAACTGAAAAAAAAAAACCAACTCAATTCTCATAATCACTTAATGGAATTTTTAAACAAATATCGAATAGACTCAATAGGTTTGTATGAAGTTTTCAGTGGCATTTTGATGAATTTTCTTTTTTTAACTGTTGGGCAGTTAGTCCATTTAAGACCGTGCCTGAGGCAATCTGATCAGAAGTACGGAGTGTTGACAACAGCGCGATCTCTTTAGATACACAAGCTCAGAAAATTTGTCCGCTGACAAAACAAACTGGACATTTCGAAACGAACATTTGATATTCTAAAGAAGTTAAGAGGAACCTTCCACTCGAAATTCTAATGATTCAAGTTAGGTAGCTCGTAACGGTTCTTGCTTTCAGGCTCATGGCTACTCGTGAAAGGTGAAATGACTTCCGGTGTACAAAAACGGTGCCTTTCTCCCTGTAGATTTTACCTCAAGCTTAGGTTGAAAGAAAGATGATACTGGTGAACAATAGTCGATCAGTTTATTGTGAGACAGGAATTTGATCGAGAGTTAAAGTCAGTCGTGCGTATGCGTATTACATGATCCTGTGTTCTCGAAAGCGACACTCACTGAATAAACGGAATATTTTATTTCTTTTCGCTCGTCCGTGTCAAAACTGATCATGAAGCAGCTTGTTTTAGAAAAGCAAACGAATGGTGGTCAACTTCCCTTCGTTTAATCTTATTCTCGTGTGAGTTAAGGTAGCCATGGATTGTGTACTCGCTTGACAACATAACTCAAACCAACACACTTTTACACAGTTTGAATTAATTACAAACTTGTATAAGAAACGATTAGGTCAAGAGAGAGATTTGAAAATTCCTCGAATAAAGACTCTGGAGCTAGTTCTTGTGGTGACTTTGAAAATGTTGTAGTTTTATCCAAATCACTTAAATATTCTCGCGATGACCTCAGTACAAAATGAATACAAAATATTTCTATATTCCATCTTACCCAAATGCCAACCAAAATCCCAAAACCTGAATAGCCGACCCAAGTCTCCGACATTAGTCTGTCCATAACGCCGGTAGCAATCAAGGCAATCCCAATAACAAAGTGGGCTAAGGCAAGACGCTGTCCTTTTGAAGCGATGGTGTGATAGTCATCCATTTTGGACAGTTCGAATTCCGGGAAACTTTGAGCCCTACGAACTGAGCATGATCTTTTAATACACATTGCGGCATCAGGCCACTTCCGAGTTCTCGCGGTCTAGCGATCTGGTGACAAAATAATTGCGCGACAAGGAGGCTAAGTGAGAAGTGGCTCTCATCGCTATAACTGAGAGTGAGGTGTTGTAGTAATAAAAATCAGCGAAAATTTCTCGAAATTCAGTTTAGAAGAGTGAAAAACTATACATGAGAGAGAGGCAATCAGTGAAGTGATGGCAGCAAAGGAAAGAAAAAGGCCGACCTGTTCGACTCATGCAAGAAAGCTGCAGCAATGAATTAGATCAAACTAGTCTCTTCTGTCAAAGACCGGAAACTCAAATGAGTGCAAATTTTTAACACTTAGACGCACAACCTCTGGAACTTTCCAGAGTTCTCGCTCAAGCGTTGATAATTTACACTCACTTCTTTGCGTAATTTTATATCATTTTATATCATTTTGAAAAGTAACCAGATTGCACTTCTTCTTGAGATAGAAGTTGGTTCACGGCTTGGCGTGTGTATATTGAGGGAAGCTTCCCGGAAGTTTGAAGAGCAGGGGGAAAGGTTTTGCTATTCGGTAAAGCTCATTATGGAAGAAATTAGAGTTAAATCGGGGGAGGGGAGGAGGAGGTGTTTTTTCTGACATTCCAGATGGCAGATGCCAAGTAGTCTTCGGATCGGAGAGCGGGTGGCGGGAAAGGAGGGGTACTGTATATGTTATCTGCGTTGCGTCGCCGCGTCTCCCAATCTCTGTCTCTTGTTAAAAATGACCTTCAATACAAATGGTATCCCTCTCTGGATCACTTTCTCTCTGTATTTCTATGGTCTAGGACCGTTTTCCATCATTGCTATAATTTACAGTTCGAAATATTACAGCTTTCATCCTTATCATACTTAACGACTTCTTTGTACATAAAAAAGCTGGATCCATCAAACCAACAAATGTGACCCCATTTGATAGTTAACTGGGATATATCTACTAAACAGACGCAAGGCAACATGGAATCTATTTTTTGAATAACAGACTTTGATCTGGTAAGCATGAATGACAAGATTTGTGGGGGTCTGGGGTTTAGTAATATCAGGAAAGCTACAGAAGAAAAGTCTCATGCACTTTCCTCCATATTTACTTTTAAGGGTAATGGACAGAGATGGACCACGAGGTCTATTTTCATAACAGACAACATTCGCACAGTTTTGTGGTTAAGACTTCTGTGGTTTCGGAAGTTTTTTTATCCGGTGTCAAGGACCTCGGTTAAAATCTTAAGCTCAAAATTTATTTATGTAATTCTTCCTATTGTATAAATTAAGTGGTACTTTTCTCGTGACAGGTATGATATCTATATGTAATGGGAAAAGCGGTTTATCTTGGTCAGCGGCTCTTTCTCATAATAGTTATCTCAGATGGACCAGGTCGTGCAATCTGAGGCTGTTACTAGGAGATAAACAAGAGCAGTGAAAGTGAACCTCAGTCTCCGGAAACAAAGCCCACGGCAACGAACATTAATTAGCATCACCATTTCATTAAGTTGGGATTAGAGTTTTTGCAAGGGGTAAGATTACAGCAAAGTCTTACATATTACTTTGCCATTAGACTGCCAAACATCGCATGCCAACGGTTTCCCGAGAAACGATACCATTAATGGTGGCAGGGAATTAAATTTATCACATCTACTGAGCGACGTAAATGAATCGAAGCTTTAAAAAAATGACAATAATATGAGTTCATCTTTGGGTAAAATCATCCTTAAAATTGCATAGGCTATCACCAAAGGAGTCAAACCAAAGCAAAAGGTGTCTAGGAAGTTACAACCCTCACGAAGTTTACGAATCACAATTTATTCACATATCTTATCATGGCTGACTGAAGTTTGTTTTTCATACCTTCTGATGTTGGGGTATATCCACGTCATATGGTGGAGGAAGCAGCTCAAGTTGACGAACTGCGCTCCGCTGCAACTCACAACTGATGAAATCTTTTGACAAAGGTCTGACTGCAATTGATCAACACGACGAATTTCTGTATTTATAGTTTTTTTAACCTCTAATTGGTAGTTGTACTCACAAGAACAAAAAAGAAAAAAAAACATCACGTAATATTCAGACTTCGCAGATTGAAAGATGCGCATAACAACAACCAATTTTCTCCCAATTTTGTTTTATCATTAGACAATTAAATGAAGTCATGTACTTTTCTGCACATGACACTCTTTTATTCTTGTTCACCGTCCCAACGAAACAAAAACTTGCATTTTGTATTATTACAAGAATATGGATTAGTACACGTAAATTGAATCTTAACTAGCTTCATAGAGAATAATTGATGAATCGAACGTGTTCGTTTGGTATGGCATCTCCGTATAATTAATGGGAGGAGCTCCTCATTTTCATGCAATGACTCTTCTGGGCTCATAGGCACAAGTAAATAACCACGAGACACTTAAGAAAATAGAATCATTCGCTAAACTATATTTTGATGGAGGTGTCTGTAAACTACTTTATCTAGAATTTGGGGAGAAGTAGGTATTCCTGTAGCTTTTTGCATGAGCGACTGCCGATAGGAAGGTGTCCGGTGAAAAGGCCGTCAGGCCTCTTTCCCTTTGGGCCTTTGGGGCCTGCCTCCCAGAAGAGAAACTAAGAAATGTATATGCAATTTCCAGAATTTTGGGAATCAAAACTGCGGTGGCTATACATGTAAGAACTTTTATTGACAATCTGTAATTTGCCTTTTATCCCTGAATGATGTGCTTTGAATAGGAAATTCGAAAACAAACTGCTTGTGGGTATTCCTTTGGATTAAGACTCTCATGCTGGCTCAAGGTCATTACTCACTCTTGTGAAAGTCCACGCGAAAGCTTAACGCGAAAATCTACAGGCGAGCTGAAAAGAGAGCAGAAAGAGGGCTTCTATCAGACGCTTGACCCCGATAAACGGTTTTATTGAAAACTCTGGCTGGAAAGGGCGCACCTTGCAATGGAGTTCTGAGGAGTCGAGAGTAACAAGATTACCCCGTCCTGCCGATCCACCATTATCTGCTCAATTATGTCTGAATGAAGCTCTTAAACTGATTAAGCACTGATTTAACATCTTCTCGACTGACTTTGATTCCAGAAAATGAATAGCTTTTCTCACTTGCGGTTCATATGCAGGCCAGACAAGAATGCTAACTTACCAATGCACCAACTACCAAACAACTGATATTTGAGAGTCATTGGAAGTTATCGCAGGGAAACGTAAACATAACGTACAATTATAGTTCCCCCTAATCATTAGTAATATTCTAGGGAAAAGACTCGCTGCCGGATAATGTTTTCTAAATACCATTCTTGACTTTTACGCTGTAATCCTGTAATCCACCATTTTCTTGTTAAATGGGGAGAAACCTACCTCCTTGCTTACCTCCCACCTTCGGCCGGTTTCCTGGCGTTAAATGATACACCTTTTTTTGTTTACAGCTTCTATCTACCTACCTACCCACCTACCTAGCCTTATTCTTTACCTAAAAACTGACCCATCAATTTACAACCTATTCCTCTGCTTACGTACCTACATCCATATCTACGTACCACCTTCTTACCTACTTACCTAACCACCCTCTAAACTACTCTTCCAACGTACTTATCTACTTACATACCGCACTACATGCATGATAATTTGGTTTTATAAACCGCGTTAATTATGTATATATAGATATTCCAGCTTTAGAAGCTCACTACGGTGGCCAAATACATTATCCGCCCATATGATAAAACCAAATTGTCTTCTATAACCTCAACGACGCAGCCCCACAGTTTCTTTTGAAACACTACCTAACTAACTTCTTACCCATCAGCCTGCAACCCTACCAGCTAACCAGTACAGATAAGGTGTAGGAGACGGGTCCTGCGGTTTTTTCGGCCTTATCCATTTCGGCCTTATCCATTTCTTGACATAGTAGAAAGGTAGCACATTATCCTCAGTTTTTTTCAAGGCCCTGAGTGTTGGTCCGGTCTGGGGCTCGAACCCTCGACCTCCCGCACGGCAGTTTGGCGCTTCACCACCTGGGCTAGCTAGGTGGTGGTAATTGTTATTGAATTGACGTATCACTCGATTGCCGTTGCCTTTGCTAATCTCTATGTTGTTAAAACAACGATTATTTTAGGTTCAGTGAACTGCTCCCGCACCAGTTTCTCACGATTTAAAAACATAATGTTGGATGACCGACGTAGTCGAGAATGATATTAACCACAATTTATTCTGTAGCGCGTCTTTTCACTGGCATATTACTAATCCTTGTTGAGCTTTTTATGGCACCAATTGCCCCGTTTAGAGATGTGCATTTACGATGGTTGCCTCACCTCACTCTCATCACTCCTATCGCAGTTAGAGGTTGCGTATGTTTGCGTTCTTGTTTGGCCTGCATGCCAGATTCAGTGGTTATTAGTTGCAAAAGCTATTACTTTCTACGGCTAAAATTCAATAGAAACATGTTTTAATGAATCACTGCTTACTCGGTATAAGAGCTTGCTTTTACTCACAAAGATCACCATGGATCGCTAGGACGCGACCTGAAGCGATTATAAATGAAACACTTTCCATCAGATCGTAAGAGATCTATGGTGTCTAGTCTTTCGACTGGATATACTTTTTCTTTCCCTCGCCAGTAATACTTGAAGCACAGGAGAGCACTAACTTGCTCATACGTTACATCAACTTAATGTTTTAATGGATAACTTATTCAACAGCAATCTGATTACAAAACGATTATTCTCGTGGTCTGTCAGGAACTGGAACAAACTTCGCAATTACAGCGAGAATATATTTTAAAGCTATTATACATAATACTACTGTTCCTTCTATTGGAGGGGAATATGTCTTATTGTTCAAACGTCCCCAGTGTAGCCATATTTCGCTGAACGCAGACGTAGTATGGAAAACCTCTTCTATAACATAGCGGATACAATTCGTGCATCGGAGCGAAATCTTCGGCAGCGATATAAACAAAGTTTTCGATTGGCTGATTAAAAATATACCACGTCTCGTACGAGCAAGAGCATTACATTATGTTCATAA